CAAGGGACAGAAAAGTGGGAGAGAAGTCAGAAAGGGACAGTGCACTGTCACTGAGGGGAGAGGACTCTGGCTTTTGCTCCAAATGAGATGGGATACCACCTCTCGGCAATATTAAGTATGATCTGACTTTTTAAAGGATCACTTTGGTTGCTGGCCTCAGAAGAACTATCAGACGGAAAAAGCGGAAATAAGAAAGACCACCAGAGGGGCACTTGGGTGGCTCAGTGGGTTAAAACCTCTACCTTCGGCTCAGGTCATGATCTCAGGGTCCTGGGATCAAGCCCCACATCAGGCTCTCTGCTGAGTGGGGAGCCTGCTTCCCCCTCTCTCTGCCTGCCTCTCTGCCTATTGTGATCTCTGTCTGTCTGTCAAATAAATGAATAAAATCTAAAAAAAAAAAAAAGGGAAGACCACCAGAAAGTGACCACAAAAGTCCAAGCTAACACTGGCTTGGGTAGGATAATTCGGGCAGGGTGATGAAAAGCTTCAGTTTCGGGAAGTCTGCTAGTGATAAAGCCAACAGGATTTATTGATGGAATGATAGATTAAGTGTGAAAGGAAAGAGTCAGGGATGACTTCAAGGTTTTTGGTCTGGGCAAATGAAACGACAGAGCTGCCATTTAACAAGATGAGAAGACTGTGGGGACAATACATTTGGAATAGGGGACTGCAGGCAGCATAGAGAAATCAAGAATTCTTTTGAAGAGGTCCAAGCAGAGATGTGAGGCAAGCAGCTGGATATATGAGTATGGAGTTCTGGGGTGAGATCTAGCTGAAGATATAAATTTGAAAGCCATGAATGGACACATGGTATTTAAAACCATGAGACTACTGCAATTCATATACCTTAAGTATGAGCTATGTGAAAATATTAATTCCAAAATGGATACTTAAACTAAATCGGTAACCTTTCTTTCATTCCCATCACTCCTATAAATTTAATTTAAAGAAAGTTGGTATTATAATGCCTAATAGCATTCATCATAGATGCTCAGATTTTGGGAGTGAATTACAGACCTTCAGAACAACTGTGACTCCATGAAGTACAGGAAACTCTTGCCCATTTGTTAACTATACAATAACCTTACTTCTTCAGAATGCAGCCAAGAATCAAGAATCAAAATAGGTTTTTGGGTACACATGGTCACAAAATCCATGCGATTAAGTCCATGGATTTCATTAATTAGTAAAAGTCCCTGCAAATGCTCTTCTGATCCAAAACATGCAAACAGCAGTCTAAGACCATTTGGTTAAACAGGCAGAGGCCCACCAAAGCACAAATTCTTATTAACACCTTAGGACATCAATCTATAATATAAGTGAAGACAATATAAGTGCAGGTAAACTACATATGATAATAACGACAGCAATCTTTTTTTAGGTTCCTTTGTTCCGGATATTATGCTGGGTATCTTTTAGTATAACTTCTCATTTCTAATCCTTAAAACAATCCCTGAAATTATCAATATTATTATCCCCACTTTTCAGATGGGGAATAGAGGCCAGAAAGGTTTAGTACTTTGATCACAGTACTGGACTAGAACCCAGTTGTGCTTGAATCCAAAGCCAGTATGCTCTAAACGATATCATAAGAAAAGATATATTCTACATTCTTTTATAAGATGCTAAGGGAATTATCTATTACAATTATCATCTAAAATGTTTAAATTCTGGGACACCTAGGTGGTTCAGTTGGTTAAGCATCTACCTTCGGCTCAGGTCACGATTCCAGGGTCCTGGGATCAAGTCTCCCATCCGGCTCCTTGCTCAGTGGGAAGCCTGCCTCTCCCTGCTGCTTACATTCTCTCTCTCATTCTCTCTGACAAATAAATAAGTAAAATAATAAATAAATAAATAAATAAATAAATAAATAAATAAAATGTTTAAATTCTAAACTTGGAATAAGAACCTGGAGAAAAATTTGTACCTTGATGGGGATAAATCAAAGCAGTAAATGATGCTGTACACTCTCAATCTGTAAAAATGACATTGATGTAGACTGGCTGCTACACAAAAACACAGAAAGAATATTTTCTTACTTAGATCAAGAATGATGTTCCACTTAAACAAAAATATTCTAAATAGCTTTGTTCAACACCACCATTTCTGAAGAACATTATTTTATTTTAAAGATTTTATTTATTTATTTATCAGAGAAAGAGTGAGAGAGTGTGTGTGCACAAGCTGGCGGAGAGGCAGGCAGAGGGAGAAGCAGGCTCCCCGCTGAGTAGGGAGTCCAAGGTGGGACTCAATCTCAGGACCCCGAGATCATGACCTGAGCTGAAGGCAGACACTTAACAGACTAAGCCATCCAAGCATCCCTGAATGTCAGGCTTTTATCTGAAAAATCTCTGGAATTATTTCCAATACTCTTTTGTTTCAGTTGAGAATATTAAAGTTTTTTAAATCATCATGTCTTAAAATGGCAATAACAGATAAGAAAGAAACAAAATTGACAAACAACACAAACGTCTTATATTTTAGTCATAAAATTAAACTACTTCTTTCATCAATCCTAAACCAGATGTCAAACAAATACTGAAATTGACTAGCCTAAATTTCATCCCTACTAATTTTGCAAATAAGGTACAATAGCACTTTAGAGATGACAAATGTCCACTATAAGGCAATTCCAAGGCAAACAGAGGGAGAAAGAAATGATAAAATTCATCCCAAATCCACAAAGAATGCTTCTTACCCTGCCACACCCACTTTAATAAACAATTAAACAGCCCATTCCTTTTGGGAGGAGGCAGGAAAGGGGTGAGTTCTATCATTCCAAGGCCTCCCTTTAAGTTATCAAAAGGTCTATAAACCCAAAGATACTGAATACTTCTCTTCAACAAATGTGTGCTTGCTTTGTGACAGTCCCTTCCTCCTAGCAGGGAAGTCATTATACTTTCAGTACCAGCTAAGAAAAAAATAAGCCTTGAGATTCAATTTTACTGTCTCAGGAAAAATCAAACAACTAATAAAATCCTTTCTAGACACAAAAACTGCTAACAGACGCATGAAAAAATGCTCAACATCACTAGACATCAGGGAAACGCAAATGAAAATCACAATGAGACACCACTTCACGCTGGTCAGAATGGCTAAAATTAAGAACTCAGGCAACAAAAGATGTTGGCGAGGATGCAGAGAAAGGGGAACCCTTATACTGTTGGTGGGGATGCAAACTGGTGCAGCTACAGGGGAAGACAGTATTAAGTTTCCTCAAAAAGTTAAAAACAGAACTACCCTATGGCCCAGCAATTGCAGTAAATTAGGTATTTATCCAAAGTATACAAATGTACTGATTTGAAGGGGCACAGGCACCATGATGTTTATAGCAGCAATGTCCACCATAGCCAAACTATGGAAAGAGCCCAGAAGTCTATCGACAGATGAATGAATAAAGAATATGTGAGATAGATACACACACACACACACACACACACACACACTGGAATATTACTCAGCCATCAAAAAGAATGAAATCTTGCCATTTGCAACAGTGTGGCTAGAACTAGAGGGTATTATGCTATGCGAAATAAGTCAGTCAGAGAAAGATAAACACCATATGATTTCACTCATATGTGGAATTTAAGAAACAAAAGAGATGAATATAGGGGAAGGGAAGGAAAAATAAAATAAGAGGAAAACAGAGAGGGAGGCAAACCATAAGAGACTCTTAACTACAGGGAACAAACTGAGAGTTGCTGGAGGTGGGGCGGGTAGGTAGGCGGATGGGGTAACTGGGTGATGGCCATGAAGGAGGACACTTGATGTAATAAGCAGCACTGAATGTTATATGCAACTGATGAATCACTGAATTCTACCTCTGAAACTAATTATATAACATATGTTAATTAAATTGAATTTAAATTAAAAAAATTTTTAAATTTCTTTCTGAAGACATAGCTCCATCCTTTCTCATAGACTGCAAAATCTAACTGGTGAAAGACTTTAAAATAAGAAAAGCAAAAACTGTAATTGTAAGAATCAGAGACTCTCAGAGTTTCTTAATCTAGGAAATAGCATCCTTTTAGGATTCTGTTTAGGGAAATGACTAACCAGGCCAATTTCTAGAATGTCATAATAGGCAAGTTCAGAGGACTAAACCTGATCATTTTCAGGACACAACCCAATGAAATAAATGTGTGATTCTATTGGAAGAAACCTCTTTACATTTCAGAACCATTGTAATGTACCTCCCAAACTGTCCCCACAGCTAATAAGTCATATACTTAAGGAGATGGGCACCTATTATCTAAACACAGTACCTTCATAATAAAAGTCCCTGATTGACTTGCACAATTAAAACTAAAAATAACTGAAGATACTGTTTGGTAAAATATGCCTTTTTATATTCCTTTGGGAGACCAAACTTTTACCATCATGCTAAGAAATAAAGCTACATTTCTGAGCTGCATAAAGTACCAGCAATTAACCTATTTCACATGGCACACCATCTTATACATGCTGAGTAAATCAGATTAAGAATTAATGGGTTAATAAATAACAGCCATAGATACAATTATAGATAAGTGTGTACACGTGTGTTAGTATACACATATGTATACATGCATATGTTACTCAGCTCTGTCCACTGAGAGCTAGCAATGACATCTCAGTAACAATGATCATACCTAGCTCCAGATCCTGATCCTAAATACCATTCTCCAATAAAAGGAACTCCTTGAAAAAATGGATGATTCTAGGGGTAGGACAGGAAAAATAAAAGATGAAGCTGGAGGATCTTTGTAGTACCCAATAGTAAGTGCTCAAATCTGCATTTTAACTTTTGTTTTTCATGATGAGACTTTCTGTTAAGTAAAGGAAGAAAATATTATTACCATTAGATTGTCCATAAGTGATAAATGACTGTTGTCACTTCCTTTCTTTTACCCAAAATATCCAACCCTGCATTCTCTAATCCCCAAAGGTTCACAGAGTAAAGAAGGGACTCATATAAAAGGCCAGAGCAATTAGGGGTTAGTCACAAAATTAAATCATACCGTGCAAAATTCAAGCTTTTTACCAGTTCATCTAATATGCGGTTATTTTTTAGGTCCGGCTCTGTGACTGTCTAGAAAGGAAAAACAACAGATGGAAAAAGGTCAGAAATAATAAAATAACTTGTCATAATCTTGTTTTGAAAATGTGTGACCCAACCTCCTGAGACTCCCCATCCCACTAAGTCTTCCAGGAAAGCCTCAAAATAAAGTTCATTTATCTCATACTAATATGGAATTCTAAAACAGTGAATCAGCATCTGCTGACTGAAAGTCTGATAAAAGTTCTCCACAGCCTCTGATAAAATCATATACGCTCTGTATCAACTAAGATAAAACCTAACATGAGCAAGAATCGTTATTCAAAATACCATCCCAAAAAATTTCTCCTGAAAAAACAGAACAGAGATGATCTTTTAAGTGACCACATAGGGAGAGGTATTAGGTGCCACAAGAAAGGTAAAAACAAGGTTGGTGTTGGGGAATGCAACAGAAAAATGACAGATTCCGTAGTTATTTGGCACGAATGGTATTCAGTTCATCTCCTTAATGATATCATCTTGGCTATGGCAAGACACCAACTTGTAAAGAGATTAAACTTAGGAGCCAAACTGCATCATTTCTAATGTAGGGAAATAGTTCAGAGAAGTTCAGTGACATCTTAACACCATGTACCTTCCAGAGGCACCAAACTAGAACCCAAACCCTTCAATTAGTCCCATTATCCTTTCTATTAGACCTCACTGCCTCTTCTTTTTTCTTTATTCCTATTTATGTTTACTTGTCCTTTTTACCTACCTTTTTGCCTACTTGAAATGCTTCAGAAACTCTAATATCAAATTTCCTACTGTTTTCCATGAAGGTCTAATTTGATAAAGAAGTAAGGGACCGTTATGAGACACCTGGGTGGCTCAGACAGTTAAGCACTTGACTCTTGATTTCAGCTCAGGTCATGATCTCAGGATTGTGAAACCGAGCCCTGGATCAGGCTCCTTGCTCACTGTGGAGTTTGCTTGAGTTTCTCTCCTTCTCCCTCTGCTCCTTTCCCCACTCACTCCCTCTCTCTTTCTTTTACTAAAAATAAATAAATAAATAAATAAAATCTTTTTTGAAAAAGAAGTAAGGAACCAGTCAGGCTGGGCTCGACCCAATGGCCATGAATCTTTGGCTTCCACACAAATACTTAAATACCAACCCTATGCAAATGAATAATCCTACCATCAGATTTTCTACCCAGGGTGAAAAATTATAAAACATGAGAAGCCAAGCCATTAAACATAGATCATAAGACTTAAAAGTGCTACATCCTGATCTTAGAATTAATTTCTACTTCCTAAAATACATTTAGGTTTTGAAATCTTTATGAAAAATTGAACAAAGCCCAGGTCTCTATTTATGTGTTTTAGAGGTTCTTTCTGAAAATGTCTTTTATGTAGCTTAATCCAATTATACCTCTTCCCTTGAGCATCTGTGTATACATGATACAGAAATTTGCACCAATCAATTAAGTTTACAAGAAAAAAACAGAAAAGAAAAACTTACCACACAACAAGTTGGACATTGTGTTTTATAGGACAGGAATTTTCTTATACAAAGAGAACAGTCTGCAAAAAAACAAATGCAACATAATAAATTAGTTAAGCTACATTAATAACATAGGAATCTGACTTCTAACAAAATCTGACTTAAGCCCTAGAACATTTCCATCATCTAAGGCCTATCATTATAATCTCAAAATTCTAACACCTCTAGTCTACCTATGCATACTCGCAAAGTGACAAAGTAGCATTTTTAGGACAGGGAAAGATATCAAATAATAATAATTGTGAGTCCCTAGGATATCACAACTCCATAAAATGTAGGATGGATACTGTATATACATGTCAGATAGCCCTATGCCTAACATTCTAAAATATAAATTTTGAAGTAAGATATATACACGTTAAAAAATAATATATACCTACGTTATCAATTAGGGATTTCTACATCCTAACTCTACAAATGATGTCGAACATCCCACATATAACAAGTACTTTGTGGCAAGCACTCAGAAAAGAAAAATATATAAGGGAAGATTCTTGACCTTAAGGAGCTAACAAAGTAGTGAGGTAATTTCAGTACCATTCATTGTAATAAATCCTAAGGATTTAACCAGGAAATTGTCATTAACTAAATTCTTCACATCCAAGGCAGTATAAAATGATCTCCCAAAGGAGGGGGAAATGTGACTAAATAGAATGCTCTCTTAATGGTAGCTAATTTGCTATCAGTCCAAATTCAGCTTAGTGAAGGGGCCTCACTAAAAAGGATTCAGTTTAGTTTAAGAGGAGGAGACAGTATGATTTTGGGTATAGACAACCAGGAAATGAACAAGTCCTGGCAGCCTCAGCATCCAGGGGGAAAAATGAAAGAACACGTTAAAAGAGAAGATAAAATAGGCAATGGGTTAAGTTTTGTGGGGAAGCAAAGATGAATAAAGGGGAAATTCCGGTTTACAGGTTTACAGGTAAGGAGTTAGAAAGTCATCACCCCCATCTCCATCTAATAACAAGTAAAAAGACTGAAAAATCAGCTCTTCCTAGCTCCATCAGAGAAGTGAGGTTACCAGACAAGCTGTTGCTCCAAAATTAGAGAGTGAGAAAGACTGGACACAGAGAATCAGAACTTACCAGAGCAGAAAGCTCCAAAAGAACCAGAGAAAAAGCCTCTGCTAGAACCAGTGCTGGGGCAGGAAAACTTGAATTATAATTGGCAAATCAATGGAAGCTCAGCAGGGTGGAGTCTGAGAGTTAAAAACTCCAGGGGATCCAAGATATAGGGTAGGCCCACACATACATGAATTTCAGCTCCAAGGGTTCTACCCGGTACTCAAAGTGACAACCTGAAAAATCCCATGGTCCTTCTGTAGGGGGAAGGGGAAAGTAATCATTCTGCAATACAGAGCACTCTGTTCTTCTTAACAAGGCCTGCCCTCAAGAGAAACTTTACCAGACCCAAGTCTCTGGGGGTATTATCAGAGCCCAGCTAACCTCAGGAAGGGAAATAAGCAACTCCAGCTATTTCTACTCATCCTGTCCCACCAAGGGGAAGAACAAACTTGCAGTTTGTTGTGAAGTTCATGGTCCAGGGCACAGGCTCACTAAATGATAGATATAATCATAGAACTACAGAACATGGCACTTCTGACATCTCATGGCCACGTTACTTTATAAAGGTCTATTTATTACAGTTCCATTTCCCTAGTACATCATGACTGGTTATCAGGAAAAAACTACAAGGCATACTAAAAAGCAAGACATAGCTTGAAGAAACTGCACTCATCAGAATCATAGCCAAATATGGCACAAAAGCTGGAATGAAAAAACCAGGAATTTAAAACAACTGGACAAAGTTGACGACATGGAAGAACAGATGGGTAATGTAAGCAGAGAGATGGGAATTCTAAGAAAGAATCAAAAAGAAATGCTAGAGATTAAAATCACTGCAAAAAGAATGATGAATACCTTTGATGGTATCAGTAGACTGACCACAGCTTAGGGAAAAATCACTGCACTTGAGAATATCTCAATAGAAACTACAAAAGTGAAAAGAAAAAGACTGGAAAAAAACAGAACAATATTTAAGAACATTTTGTAGCAGGACATTATACAAGGTGTGATATACATGTAATAGCAATACCAAAAGGAGAAGAAAGATGGGGAAAAAAACAAATATTTGAAGAAACAATGACTGAGAATTCCCCCCAAACAGTCAGAAAGCAAACCAGAGATCCAGGAAGCCAAGAGAACATAAAGCAGGAAAAATGCCAAAAAAACTCACCAAACCCTACAACCTGGTATATCATATTTGAGCTGCAAAAAATCAAAGATAAAGAAAATAATCTTGAAAGGAAGCTGGGGTGGGGGGTGGGGGGGACACTTTAGCTATAGATAACCAAAGAAAAGAATTAAATCCAACTTCTCAGAAACCATGCAAGCAAGAAGATAATGGAGTATTGAAAGAAAATACCCACCACCAACCTAGAATTTTATGTCCTGTGAAATAATCCTTTAAAGGTAAAAGAGAAACAGACCTGTTCAGACAAGTGAAAATGGAGGACTTTGCTCCCAGTAGACCTGCATCACAAGAAATCTTTTAAAAAGTCCTTCAGAGGGGCACCTGGGTGGCTCAATGGGTTAAAGCCTCTGCCCTTGGCTCGGCTCATGATCCCAGGGTCCTGGGATCGAGCCCCACATCGGGCTCTCTGCTCAGCAGGGAGCCTGCTTCCCTTCCTCTCTCTCTCTCTCTGTCCACCTCTCTGCCTACTTGTGATCTCTGCCTGTCAAACAAATAAATAAAATCTTTAAAAAAAAAAAAAAGTTCTTCAGAGAGAAGGAAAACAAGTCAGAAATCTAGATCTATATAAACAAAGGAAAAGCACTGGAGAAGAAATAAATATAGGTAGAATAAAAACTTTTATTTTTCTTATTCTTAATTGATCTAACAGGTAACAGTGTCTTCAGTTTCTTCATATATTTATTATATTTACATATATATATAAACATACATACATATTTTCATTCTTATGTGCGCTTATATATAAGCGGAATGAATTACATCAATGATACAAAGTACTGGAGGGAGGAATTAGATGTAATCTGCTCTGGCTGCCACAACAAAATACCATATGCTGCTGCCTTAAAGAAAATAAATTTATTTTCTTACAGTTCTGGAGGCTAGAAGTTCGATATCAAGATGCCACTATGATCGGTTTGTGGTGAGGACTCTCTTCTTGGCTTGCAGATGGCTGCCTACTCACAGTGTCCTCTCTTGGCAGGTGGGAGAGAACAAGCTATATATGTCTCTTCTTTCAAGGGCACTAACTTCCTCATCAGGGCCCCACCTTCATGGTCACAACTAAACCTAAATAACTCCCAAATACTCCCAAATACACTAGGGATTAGGGCTTATGAATTCTGGGAGGGACACAGTTCAGTCCACAGCATTCTGCTCCTTGCCCCCTGAAAATCCATGCCTTCTCCTGTGCAAAATGCATTCATTCCATACCACCAGTCCCAAAAGTCTTTAATTCATTCCAGCACTGACTCTAAAGTCTATAAAGCCCAAAATATCACCTAAATCAGATATAACTGAAACATGAAGTATGATTCATTCTGAGGCAAAATTTCTCCCCAGATTCATTCTCTTGACTATCAGTGTTATTCCCTTCACAGTATAAAAAAATCTCCTAAGCAATGCTGTAAATCAAGAATTCCCAAACCCGGCTACTTATCTGAATCACCCGGGAGAGATTATTGTTGGTTTTAATTTAGTTTCCCAGGCCCTATCCCCAGTCATATGGATTCAATGCATTTGGGCCAGTAAATTGCATCCATAATATGTGATTCTGATTGAACAACAATTTTTTTTAATTAGCATTTTTTTTGCTACTACATTTAACTATATAAAGTTGTCATTTTTCAGTAAATCAAAAAAAAGAACAAATACTGGCAATTACATGTGGTTTAATGTAACACTGTACACTTACTATGTGCTCTGTTTTAAGCATGTTTTATGTATTAACTCTTTTGATCCTTACAACAACCCTGAGGCTGGTACTAACTACTATCAGTCCTATTTTACAATAAGTAAAATGCAGTTCAGCGTTCACCCAATTCAACCAAGATCACAAAGGAAATAGGTGGCAAAGGCCAGTACCAGAGCTCATGCTCTTAACCTATTAATTATTTAAAACATATACAATTTGTTTATAAAACACATTTATTATATATACCTATATAATACAAATAAATATTATTTCACTAACAGGATCACATGTACCAGAGTATGCATAATGAGACTACTGCTTTCTCTTCTGCATAATCTTGTATGTGTTTTGTTTCACATAAAGAGAACCAGACACAGGCCCAAAGTAGATCAAGCTCTTGGGTTACTTTCAGTCTACTAGTTTACTACCAAATATGTACTGGTGAACTGCAGACCAGCATGATGCATTCTCTAGTGAACAACTATGATATTCCAATCAAAGTTAGAGCTGTTGAAGAGCTCTGGACTACGTATTCCTCAGTGGCTTTATTTAAATCACCTGTGAAGTCTATTTTTCCTCCCAAAATCCAACTATGAGCTCTAACTCTATGGACAGGGTGGAGGAGAGTAGAATAAAACAGTGATGTAATGGGTAACTTCAGGGGCGCCTGGGTGGCTCAGTTGGTTAAGCATCAGACTCTTGATTTTGGCTCAGGTCATGACTGCAGAATCATGGGATCAAGCCCCACGTCAGGCTCCAAGCTCACAGGGAGTCAGATGAGATTCTTTCCCTCTCCCTCTGCCCCTCCCCAGCTCACATCCTCTCTCTCTCTAATAAATAAATCTTAAAAAAAATAAAAAGTCGGGGGGGTAGCTTCACAGAAACACCCAAGCCTTGGGGAAGGAAGCATTTCTAATCTCAAACAGGATACAGCCAGCTGCTAGCTTTCAAATATCAAAAGAGCCTAACATCCTAACAGTAAAAAGCAAATTTCTAAAAGTTAAACCAATTATTTTGTGTGTGTGATCTTAAAGCTTGTATGAGAAAATGAACCACTTCAAATATTGTTCTCCAGTG